AGGAAGCATCCCAAGGCCGAGCGGCGTCCCCGGGGCCCTCTCCTGTGCCCTGACAGGCGAGGGGCTAGTTGGCAGGGGACCTGTTCGAACCCTGCCGCCCTTTGGGGCCCAAGTGACCAGGCGCCAAAACTTATAAGCTCTCTGTGAGTACAGATTCAGGGAGGCAGGTGTCAGCGATTCGCTGCAAGGAAAAGAGCAGTTCCCTAGCTAGCAGCCTGGTCTCTTACCCCGGGAAAGGCCGGAGAGTGGGGAGTCCGGGAGGGAGGAACAGGGATCCGCTGGGCACAGTGTGGGTCCTGCAGAAACGGGGTTAGGCTGAAGTAATGACATCTCCAGTCTCAAAGGCAGGAGTCTGACTGGCAATTCCCCCCAACCAAAGAATTCTTTATTCCATGACCTGACAAGCCTGACTAACCCAGTGGGGTTTTTGCGGGATGCAGAGAGAGAAAAACAAGTTTTTTGTTTTTTTGTTTGCTTGTTTTTTTTTTTTTCTTTATCCTCAGCCCAGGCCTCTCTCCTGGTCCTCCAACTCCTCTATACAGCCATCCAGTTAGTACCTCTTCTTGGATATGTAAAGTAAGTCTCAATCTGAACAGGTCCAATCCTGCCTCTGGTCTCACATTTCGCCATCTCAGTAGCAACCCTGCCCTTCCAGCTGTGCCACCAAAAACTTCGCTGTTATCTTTGACTTGCCATCCCAGGATCAGGGGATTCTGTGGCAGGATGCAGAGATTGACAATTTCTCACCTCTATGTCCAACATCACCCACCTGGGTTATTAGAGTGGTCTCTTCCCTGTTCTCCCTGCAGTCCGTCCCTTGCAGCAGCCACAGAGACCTTTACAAAGTCAAAGTCAGATCAAACCCCTTCTCTGATCAAAACCTTCCAGTGGTTTACATTTAAGTCAGAGTAAAATCCAAAGGCCTGCATGGTCCGACCCTCCATTATTTTCACAGTCTCACTGCAGTCACACCCCTGGCTTCCTTGCTCCAGTCCCTTTGAACTCCTTGCTATTCCTCTGACAGAGAAGGCAGGCTTCTTCTGCATCAGGGCTTTTTCACTGGCCCATCCCTCTGTAGAATTCATAGCTAATTCCCACTCCTGAAATTTGTTCAAAAGCTATGCTGCAGCTACCCTAACTATCCCTGTCAAAACTGTCACCTGTCTACCTCCTGACTTCCTTGGAGTTATTTCTTCCCATAGTACTTGCCACCCTCTAGTATACTCTATTTTCATTTACTTGTTTATGATCTGTGTTATGGTTGATGCCTAGATGTCTCCCCAAAACCTCGTGCAATCGTAAGTGGGTCTTTTTCCAGGGGTGACTGGATCTAGAGTATGTGATGCTGGGATGAAGGGTGTGTGATTAGTAAATCATCCCACTGATTGGTGTGGTGCCACCCTAATCCTGAGGCCTAGAGAGAGTGCAAAAAGGAGCAGAAAGAAGCTGCTAAGATCCCTTGCTTGCTTTGCTACCTTCTGCCCATCATGAACTGTTTTTCCTCTGCAGTTCCTATCTGACATCTGCCAAGCCACCCTGCCTTGGAGCTAGGCCATTATAGACTGAAACCTCCTCAACAATGAGCAAATAAACCTTTCTTCCTTATATTTGGGGTGTCAAATATTTTGTCTCAGCAATGAGAGAAAAGTAACTGAGACAATCTCGCTTCCATCCTACTACTCATCCCCCTGCTTGAGTGCAACATGCCCTTTCTTAAAAAGATAACTGCAACCAGAGGGGCATCACCATCTTTTCACCATCAACCCTTAAGTCACAAGCCAAATTCTGGGCTCTGTATACACAATCACTTTAAATAAACCACAAGAGGAAGGGACAATTCCTCAAAATGAAATGCTGAATTCTGTTACTAGGAGAAAGAATTACTGGCTAGGCAAAATCATAAATGAGCACTTGCTGAGTCAGACTGGCACACCCAGAAAGGCTTGGGGAAAGACATGTGTGAGAGCAGAGTTTTAGGAAGTGATGCCCAACACCCCGACTTCATTTTCAGTAAGACCATTCCATTGTAGTAGCTTTCTCCACCCCGAAAGACTTGGAGGTAGTTTGGGAGAATAGTAATAAGCAGCTGTGGGTTGCAAGAACAACCTTACATGATCAGGAAATACACACTGGAGGTCCAGTTCCATTTCTCTGTTATTCTCCTTCCTCTCTTCTATGTGTAACAGGATACTAAAGTGTAGATTTTGATTAAGACAACAAGATACTCTAGATGCAAAATTCTAGGGTCAGATCTCCAAAGATTCAAGAAGGAGGGAGGATTCGGTGATGAAATCTCTGACAGAGCCCTTGCTATGTTATGTGCCCCTTATCCCCACCATGCGAAACTTGGAGAAGCCTATTTATTTCACACCACAGCTACAGGCTTCCCCAAGTCAATGTGAGGAACTTGATGCATACATTGGTCCACATGGGGAATTCACTAGGCTGTCATCTACCTCTCACCTTGGAGAGCATGGGAGAGCTGGGGCAGAAACACCAGTGTGCTGTTATGCTGGGTTGAGCATGTGTGTTTATTTCCTGTGGATCAGTAATGGATCATGCAAGATGGAGAATCCAGTAAGGCTGCCTGGAGAGGCAGAGGTTGCCCTCAGCACAGACGTGTGCGTGTATGCCAGGTACAGAAAGGTGAGGAAGAAGTCAGAGTATAACCACGAGGCAGGAGACTCACTGGTGGACAATCTGACATTGCATTAGGCACTTTCACATCACTGGGACAGAGTATCCAACATCCATAATTTAAAGGAGAAGAGGGTTTCCAGAGGGTTCAGCTCAAATTTGGCTGGCTCAAAGGCCAACATAGCATGGTAGAAGGGCATGGCAAAGGAAAGCCACTCAACCCATGGCAGCCAGGAAGCCGAGAGAGAGAAGGAAGAAGCTGGTTACCAGATTACACCCCTCCAGGTCACAGCCGTAGTAACCACCTCCACCCAGGTCCCACCTCCTAATAGCATATTTGGCCAGAGAACTCAGCAATGGATGAATACACTGATGAATATAGCACTCCTATGATCCAATAACCTTCAAAACAGATGAGAAAGTGGGGGGATATTTTAGATCTAAGCCATAACTTGCATGATCATCTCCAAAGGGTTTGTGAAAAGCTCAATCCAAAAATTGACATCATATATTGTCATGACCCAGTAAACTTCTATGACAAAGTACGTTAGGTGATTTATACATAACAGACTGTTCTGGGGGCTTGGAACATCTATGACCAAGGTGCCAGCAGATTTTGTGTCTGGTAAGGGTTCACTCTCTGCTCCAAAGATAGGCCTTTCTTGTTACAAACATGGTGTAAGAGGCAAGATAGGTCCCTTCAACTCTTTGATAAGGGTGATAAGATGCACTGAACCTCATGATGTAATCATTTCCCAAAGGTTTCAACTCTTAATATTATCACATTGGCCTTTAGTGTTACGCTTTAGATCTAAAATGTCCCCCAAAGTATCATGTGTTCGCAGGTGTCGCTGTTGGAAGGCGATTGGATTATAAGGCTGCTATACTCATGAGCAAGATTAATCCATTGATGAGTCCATAGCTAAATGTTCTATTGGGAGGTGGGCCACTGGAGATGCTACCTGGAAGGGTGTATTCTTGTTCTCATTTCCTCCCTCCTCTTACTGTCCCCGCTTCCTGGCCACTACACTGTCAACAGCTCTCTGTGATGTCATTCTGCAATGCTGTTTATGCTTTCAATCCAGCCAACTGAACCTGCTGAAACTGAGCCAAAATAAACCTCTCCTCCTTTAAGTTGTATTAAAGTGTCAGGTATTTTGTGTCAGTGATGGGAAAGTCACTAATACAGTTAGGTTCCAACATACAGCTGTTAGGGGAGATACTGACATTTGGACAATAGCAGGGCTGTATACATCCCAGAACTATTATAATAGGAACAGTTCCCTTGGGTTCCAATTGCTATCCATTGCCAGCCAGAAGCCTTTCAGAATCTCCTCACAGAATCAGCAAATCACTTATAAAGTCATTTTGCTGTATTACAGAAAATTTGCAATTATGAGGTATTTTCCCTTCTGCATTTTGTCTCATCAAAATGTCAGGACTTATTTTTTACTTTAAGATTCACACATAGTGACTTCTATTTCTTTACTAGAAATGCAGAATCACTGGGATGATGGGGGTGGCTAAAGAGTTGGAAATTTTCTACTTCAACTATTTAGTTTTAGGTTTCTCTCTGCACTTTCCAGTACAGAATTTTCTGTAGCATTAGCACAATTATGATAAATTCATTTTAGAGCAGATTAAAAAACATTGGCCCCAGCTCCAGCTCCCTCCCCCTAAAAGCATCTGAGTGCACTTTGAAGGCTTATAGAGCATTGGTAGCACTAGACCCATAGAGCCATCTAACTCCAGGACACGCTGGGAAATACAGGGCAGGAAGTCTTCAGTGGGCTTCCATCTCTCTACAAATGATCATTGAACACGTACTGTGGGCTCTGGTGCAGGGCACTGGGAAAGCATATTAAAGAGACACATCTGAAAGGCAGTACTCTGAGGGTGTCATAGAGTTGGAAGCATCTTGAGTAGAAGCAGGAGAGTCAGCATCCAGAAGGCACAGCACTGGTTTTTGGCCCTTTCTGAGATGAAGGGGCCACTAAGGAATGTCCTGCATGTATAGATGGGAGTAATAACAGAAAAATGGAAAGTAAATGTGAATGTGACCTTGTTTACAAACATAGGTGAGAGAGGTCTGATGAACACATCAGATGAATGTCTGTAAATTCTATAATATGCAATTCATAATAGCTAAATCTTGAAATCAACTCATATGTCCATTAACAGATGAATGGATAAATAAGATGTGGTATTTAGATGCAGTGGAGTACCACTCTGCCATAAATAAGGATAAACTTGAGTCATTTACAGGAAACGTAGGATGCACCTTGAGACCATAAGGTTGAGTGAAATAAATCAGACATACAAGCTTCAGTATCTCATAGATTCTCTACATGAGAAATCCAAATTATAAATGAAGAGCAAAATAAAAGACAGGCAGTAGGAATCAGGGAGATGGATCATTCTCAAATGGGAAGGGAATTAAGAGATGGAAGGAGAAGGGAGGGAAAGGGGGTGAAAAAGAAAATAAGATGTGTTGTGTATATATACCAATTCCACATAAGGAATGTAAACATTATGTACTGCAAACATGTATGAATAAAACTTTTAAAAAGCTTAATCTCACCCCCAACACAAAAAGAGAACTGACTCATGGAAGAACACTATTCTAAGGGTAACATTTACCCTGGCACAACTGGACTC